AGAGGGGGCACATAAGAAACAGGTTTTGAACTATCAGTTTCACTGAATTATTAGCAAATGTGATGCCTTGAAGTTATTACATTAAGGCTATTATGGCAGTAGCTATCAAGGACAAACTTTTCATAATATGGACCTATCAGTCCTATTCAATATTCGCAAAGTTGAAACATATTGTATTGTTTGTTAGGGACGGCAACAAAACTCTGCGGGTTGGTGTCACCTCTTATCCTTGTTCTGTCAATTGAATTCTCCCACAAATTTTTGATGGGAGACAAAATGTTTCTTTGTCCCTATTACTCACAGGGATTGTTTCCATGCAAAATTATAAAATTTTCAGATTTTCTTTACTCTTTTAGAATATTTAATGACAAATATGTTAATAATTGAGTTGGGCTTAAATTTTTTTGTCATTAAAATGAATAATAGAATCCTAATTTCCATGCAAAATTATGAATAACGAAATTTGTCAATGTTGGATTGAAGAATGAAGTACAAATTTAGACTACCATTGAATTAAAATAAACATGTATATATATACAATTTAGATTAATATTATAATTACAATATTATATAATATTATAAATTTATAATATAATTTATTATTATATAATTACATTTTTTATTTAAAAATCACTTATATATATCCATTTGTTAAATGACATAAACGAATAACAATAACAGTGGTCTTATTTTTTTATAGAAATGGTATTATGAAGAAAAGAGGAGAATCATATTAGGCGTATGTGATTTACTAAAAGAAACGAATTATTCTTTCATTTTTTTTTTATTTTAGAAAATCGAAAAAAGAATTTAAGCCGCGTGTGAAGAAGAAAAAACTGTGGTGGAAGAAAACAAAAACCGACCGCAGCGAACATTCCTTTCTTATTGGCGCTAAAACAACAACTAAGGTTAAGACGCCAGTAACAGCTCCACGCGCTTCCACACACGCTGCCGCGCCTACGAACTTTCCTGAACACATGGCAGAGTCCAAGGCGGAAACGGAGCTGAAGAAAGCGAACGGAAAGCAATTGCAGACACAAAAACCGGAGGAGAAGGACTCGGATCCCTCTCTGACTGGGGACGACTTCGTGATTGTACCAACGGAAGAACCTGATAAACCGGTGGAGACTCCGAATCAAGATCAGAGTCTGGGCGACCAAACAGAAAATTACAGAACGCTGTCCGGGTCGAGGAAATCGGTTCATTGGAGCCCCGAATTGGTGACCGAATCACCAGCTTCGGATCACAACAACGTCTCCGCTCCTAACGGGTCCAATTCCTACGTTGCTCCCGCATCATCTTCATCCTCCTTCAAAGGCAAGCTCCGCATCTAACTGAATTTACTGATCTATGAGCGAATTTTGTGAATTTTTATTCTTAGAATTGGTTCTTTTATAATTTGGAAACAGGGAAGATGGAAACTGTGAAAGATGTGCTTGGAAGATGGGGGAGGAAGGTCGGAGAAGCCACGAGGAAGGCGGAGGATCTGGCCGGAAACACATGGCAGCACCGTGAGTTTTCTACTTTACATTTCTTTCTTTCTTTTTTTGTTGATTTGTGTTTTGATGCCTTTTGGTTTACATTGTTCCTTGGTTGTGAATTGGATGCTACTGTTATGTGTTGCCTTTTATTAGCTGAGGATAGTTTGTTAGTGGAAAATTTAAGGTTATTGCGCCCGGTTTAGTCTTTTCTTGATAATTTTACAGGACTAGAATAGACGTGTGCTGGATAATTCAATTCTTATTGGTGTGTGCTAAAATTGAATTCATCTTTGAGCTTTTCATGGTATTGTAATGATTACTTTCATATTTAGTGCGGAAGTTGAAAATCAGAATTTTAGTAGGAATATGATTTAAACACAGGTCTCATCTCCTCATCATGCCTTGATATGGTTACTTCGGCATTTTCGATAGTAATGTAGGAATTTTCTAGTTGGTGGTTGTTCCATCATGTCAGAGACAATTTTCTGAATCACCAATGAGAGTGTGAAGGGAAGGTGAATTCCAGAGAAGCAATTGAACCCTTTTCCTTCTTTTTCCCTTTCTTTTCACTTATGCATCGTTCGCATGGATGTATGTGTTCATGAAAATTGTTTTAATTGAGAGGAGATAACCATTTAGGAAAAAAATTTATGATAGGGTTAATCATGGCTTGGGGTGGGAGCTGTTTAGACT